TCAGAGGCACACGACGTCGTTAGTGCAGGGCACTTCGGAGCAGATAAGACGGCCAAGACGCTTAGTCGCACGTACTACTGGCCAGGGCTTGCAGCAGACGTAGAGGATTACATTCGCTCGTGCGACACGTGTCAGCGTACGAAGTCCTCTCGCCAGCGCAAAGCAGGACTCTTGCAGCCGATTTCACCGCCCGACCGCCCTTGGCAGGTAGTTACCATGGATTTCATCATGGCTTTACCGCGCACAGTTAGGGGTCACGACGCCATCTTCGTGGTAGTGGATAAGTTCTCTCGAGCAGCGCACTTCATCCCCACGCACGGCAAGGTCACAGCAGAGGAAGCCGCGACGCTGTTCGTAGATAACGTAGTCCGACTGCACGGGGTTCCAGATTCCATCATCTCAGACCGCGACCCTCGTTTCACTTCGAAGTTCTGGAAGCAGCTTTTCGCACTGTTCGGGACTCGCTTAGCCATGTCATCTGCGTACCATCCAGAGACAGACGGACAGACCGAGCGTGTGAACCAGACCTTGGAGCAGATTCTTCGCAGCATCACGATGCACGACGCAGCCGCATGGGACAAGAAGCTGAGCATGGCCGAGTTCGCCTACAACAACACGCACCACTCGTCCACCGGCATGTCACCGTTTTTCGCACTGTACGGTCAGCACCCCAACGTCCCCACTCGTGTCGATCTCACACCCACAGTCCCTCGTGCGGACAACTTCCACCAGCATCTCACATTCATCCATGATCACGTGAGGAAGCACCTTGAGCTCGCAAATGCACGCATGGCACGCACCACCAACCGCAGTCGTCGTGAGGTGTCGTTCGCAGTCGGCGACCGTGTTCTCTTGGAAAGCCGCAACCTCCGACTGCCACAGGACAGCAAGCTTCGTCCACGTTTCATTGGTCCATTTGTCATTGAGCGCGCACTTGGTCCCGTCGCATACCGCCTCCGCCTTCCCGCTCATTTCCGCATGCACCCGTCATTCCACGTATCGCTTCTTCGTCTTTACACCGATCCCAACGCCACCTTCTCGGGCCGTGACCGCACTCCACTGCCGGTAGCTGTTGACACCGACGAGCCCGACTACCAGATCCAACGCATCCTCAGGCACCGTCGCCGTCTGCAGGGGGGTGTCTCTTTCATCGACTTCTTGGTTCGTTGGCGTGGTTACGATGCAGCCGACGACAGCTGGGTTCCTTCGTCCTCGCTGTCTCCTGACAACGCTTGCCTCCAAGCGTACCTTCAGTCTGCAGGCGCCGCGGACGTCGCCTTCTTGGGAGGGGGGTCGTGTTAAAGGGGGGTTTACTGTTCCTTTTGAACAGTACTTTCCCAACCCATCCAACTCATCATCATCTTATCTTTCTAGATTTCCTAGTGCCACGTGGCACTCTACTTTCTTTGCCTCACATTTCCTAGTCCCACAGAGTACTTTCCGACATTCGATCTTGCATGCTATATCATCTTTGCTTGTATCCACCAATATCAATCAATTCTCGTTCAACTCTTCAATTACGCAGTTACTTCTTCGCCTATTTCGCCAACCCTCTCTTTCGCCAAAGACTTCCGCCGCGTTTATCCTCGACTTAGTCGACCCCGCTAACCTTTAGCGGATTTAGGCCAAGGGGCCTAACATAATGAAACCAGTCTGACAAACACTGTTTCAAACAAATCGCATGGGCAGAGTGAACTCATTTGATTGGCCCTCGCCAAACTAGAATGATATGGTTCCCGCCAAAATGAACTTTAGGGCGTGTAAAATTGTTACGACCAAACGCGATGGTCGAATATTGGGGCGTTTCTGGCGATTGCGATGAATTAGGGTTACGCCGATGGGAGTAGTCACCCCGGTGTGACTGATTTCCAATGGGAATTTCGGAACAGAGATTTACGTACCGCATTTTGGGACATGATTAAACTGATGCTCAGCGGGGAGAAACATTTCAGATCCCCCGTATTCCACACCCCTTTCGAATGTAGTAAAGAGAATCGAAACATTTCCTTTTTAATAAGAGGGTGGTTTGGGGTGGGTGCCCCTAACTTTTGTGGCGGGGTTCGCTTGAGTGTTACATATTTCGCACTCGCCAGAAACGCCCAAATATTCGACCATAGCGTTTGGTCGTAACAATTTTACACGCCCTTATGGCACGTTTCAACCGTCGCATTTTGTGTGCTGCACCCGCACGACCGTTCCCTGGCGATGGTTTTCCTTCGCCTGTCCAACTTCAATTTCGAGCTGGTCCTGGGTTCACAACCAGTTTTCCAAAACCTTCAGTCACTAGTTTTCCGAAACCATCAATCATTAGTTTTCCACATAGAATGCTACGAAATGGAGCTCAGAGCATAAACGTTTCTGTCATAGACTCAGGGATTATTGACGAGTGCATCAACTGTCACCTTACGGTACCACGAGCGCGTGATGTAGTAACACGTGGCCATCTCCTTGTGATGTAGTAACACCATCACCAAAATGTAACTGACCCCCAAGTGACTTTTAGGCAACATTTGGGTCACATTGCGTCCTGACCCGGAAGTCACTTTTGGGACTGTCACTTTAGGCTCCCTTGAGGCCACGTACGGGTAACATCAGGGTCACATTTGGCTCCCTGGGTCACATTGATCCCAGACTAATCCGTCCCACAACTGACTTCGGGGTCACCTTCTGGGCATATTAGGGTCATTCTGTGGTCACATTGTATGCTTAAAGCCACGCCAAAATCCCCGCTATAGCATGTGCATTTAATGTGTACAACGCTACCATTCTATAAAACCATGTTTCAATCTTATCAAAATCATGTTTCCAACAAAAATCAAAAGATCATCAAGATCATGTTCGCCACAAAAGTTCCCAAACATTCTACACACACACACCTAAAAAATCCCACCTCCAAGAGAGCCACACCACACCACAACAGCCAAACTGCATATACAGTTTGGCTACAAAAGAAACAAGTTAGCATGATGGTGCTTTGCTTTGTACATTTGCCCCAGTATAGATAGATATCACACACGGCTAAAATAACCTGACAACACAAAACCAACAAACACACATTAAAGGGTGAAAGGCCTTTTCCACGAGGAAAAGCACCGTAGAAGAAAACCAAAAACGCATTGTAAAATTATCACCTTTACTGCTTGGTAAACCAAGACATCATGAATGGCATAATAATAAAAATAATAATAATCTCTTCACGTGATTGTACTCTTGCAAGCTTGATATAGGGGCGAAAGATTTCTGCCACGCGGAAGTGGTGGCGGCGCGGAAATGGTGTCGAACCAGCACAGTTTATTCAAATAATCTTCACCACGGTTATGTACCTGCTTGTTGAGAATACAAGGAAAAAGGGTGACATACCATCAATTTCACAGGAATAAATGGGGGAAACATACATACTGTAAACGATACTATATTGAAGGGGATACTGCATACCTCCATTATCGCTGCCGCTCGTTCTGCGAGAAAGCAAAGGAACGTGCAACGACATAGTAATAGGGGAAACGAAACAACAATCTCCTAGAAATAGGACAATGAAATAAAAGCAACGCTAAACAATCATGTGAATCACCAAGATTGACTGTCATACTGTCGCTGAAGATTCTCAGATTGTGTTGACACTAGTTTCCTGTAAAAGGAAAGTACACAACGGGTAATAAGGAAGGATATAAATTAGAAGCGCATAGATTCTAGGAGATTTGCAGGAGGCGCAGAAACAGACGACGATGCAGAAACAGCTACATGCATGGCATAGTTTAATAGTTAGGGAACGAACTAATACGGACTCGTGAACGGCAAGCTAAGGACTTAGGGGCGGAGCTAGGAATAACAAGATTAAAACATGGAACATCTAGATCTGAAACAAGAATGCTAGAGTGAGTGGAGGAGGGGGTGAAATGTCGACAAGGTTGGGTTGAGCATGGTTGGTTTAGGACGTGTCCCGTCAACGGCGATCCTCCAATCGAGGGTGCGCAGGATCAATTTCGAACGTGGTTACCACTACGTGCAGAAGATTTCAATGCGTTACGCAGGATTTTGTTGCGGTCAAAGTTCAATCTCGACACGTTCGAGCGAGAGAGGACGCGTCCTGATGCGATGAGGCTGTCTTGTGTGGCAGGTGGGTGCAGAGAAGATTGTTTAGCACATTGGTTCGATGATTTGCCAGGCATACCAGAGGTGAGGAATTCGAATCTTGTCTGCCGCGCGAAGTCAGATTCAGCACCTTTTTATTTATTAAAAAAAAAAAAGTAAATAAGTTGGACGTAAACAGTCAGCAACAGAAATCGAACCACACCCCTAAAGCCCCACAGGGATGTCATATCATATGATCAGTATATTATGCTGCAGGCGAGAATCGAACCCGGGCCCCTCGATCGCAAACTTACTGGACTCCCTGGGCCATATTCGGGTCAGGTTTGGGTGAGGTCATTTTTGGGTCAAAAAACTCGCTGACCCAAATGTAACCATGTTTCCCCATGTGACCTTAAAGTGTCCTCTGGGACAGATGTGGGCAAGGTTCGGGTCAGGCTAGGGTCAAAGTGAGCTTTGGGTGAGGTTTGGGTCAGTGACATTTTGGTGATGACGTGATGTAGAAGCGCGGTGCTAGTTTCCTGTCTCGCGCCTTCGCCATCTCCCCTACCCTCCAGTCGTTCGTCCTCTGTCCGCTCCCCTCCAGTCACCTTCGCGCCTCTCTCTCCTCCCACCCCGTCGCCCTCTCTTTCTCCCCTCCCTCCCCGTCGCCCTCGCTCTCCCCCCTCCCTTCAAGTCGACATCTTTTTCTCCCCTCCCCTCCCGTCACCATCGATGCAGTTGTCGCCCCATCGCTCACCTCGTCGGCTTCCGCGCTCGCCCCATAATGTCCCCCCCTCCCCCCCCCCCCCCCCCCCCCGACGCCTTCCCCATCGCTCACCCCGTCGGCTTCTGCGCTCGCCCCGAAATGTCCCCCCCCCCCCGTCGCCTTCCCCATCACTCACCTCGTCGGCTTCCGCGCTCGCCGCGAAATGCCCCCCCCCCGTCGCCTTTCCCATCGCCCACCTTGTCGGCTTCCGCGCTCGCCCCGAATTGCGCCCCCCCCCCCCCCCGCCGTCGCCTTTCTTCTCTCCCCTCCCATCACACACCTCGTCGCCTACGCTCTTGCTCTGGAACGCCCTCCCCGCGCCCTTTCTCACTCCCCTCCCATCACTTTTCCCGTTGCCTTCGCGCTCTCCCTCCCGTCGCCCTTGCAATCTCCCCTCCCATCCCGTCGCCCACTTCATCTCCTATCGCTCACGTCCTCCCCTCCCATCGGCATCGCGCTCACGTTCCTCCCTCCCCTCGCCATCGCGCTCTCCCATCCCGTCGCCCTCCCGTCGCCTTCGCCATCTCCCATCTGTTCTCATGGTCCTCACAATCTCACTTCCCATCGCCTCACGATGTATCCCCCCTCCCTTCTCATCGCCCGCACGATCTCCCTCAGGGAAGAGGAGGCTTCCCTTCCCTTCGTCATCGTCAGCTCTCATCCCTTCCCGTCGCCTCACTTTCTCCCATCCCCTTCCGTCGCTCTCACCTTCTCCCGTACCTTCCCGCCTTCCTGGTGTTCTCCCCTCCACTCCGTCACCCTTCCTCTCCCCCCTGCCCTTCCGTCGCCTTCCACTTCGTCGCCAGTTTCCCGTTCCTCTCTCCCCACCACCCTCTTTCTCTTCATTCGCATCACCTTGCCCATCATCATTTTCCCGCCCGTGCTTTTTTTTGTTTCCCCTCTATTCCACGTTATTGCACCTCTTCCAGGCCCCAAGTCCAAGGCAGCACATTGCTAGATGCGAATTTGGTGAAGTATAGGCTCTAGTGTGTGTATGGGGCTCTCATCACGTACATGTGTGTCTGCCTGGGATTTAGAGTGAGATGTTGCTAGATCTGAAATTGAAGTATTGTCTCTAGTGAATGCAGGAGTGCACGTCGCTCAACTTTGCGTCAAATTCGCACACGTACATGTGAGAGATTGTGGCTGCCAATCAGAATCGAGGAAGAACTTTTGTTCGTGGTCCACTTCTAAACTCGTCTGATGGCTGAAAAACAAAACAAGAGGCGACGAACTCGTCTTAGGGTTGCGAAGCGTTATTTCCATTTCAACAATTACGAATATGAAGTAATGTTCAGTTATAAAAATATAATGATATGCATATATTTTTTTCCCAACCTTTACATTCTGAGGCATTCACGTTCATTTTAAGGCAGATCCTTGTGTGATGCCTGTGCTATTGTGAAAAACAGAACCCAAACAAAATAATAATAGACATAAATGAAGAAGAAGAATCTAGTGTTTTTGACTGAAAATCTGAAACAGCAAAACTACACAAGAAAAGCTTAAAGCCCAAGACCTGAATTACAAAAGAAAAAAGGCAAACTGTGCACAGTTTGCCTTCCGAACCCAAAGTTGACCTCCCGAGCCAGGATGGTTACCATAAAACGTCGCATCCCAAAAAGACTGCGTCGTATATCAGAACGCGTCTACTTGGCGAGAGTCTCATGTCAGAATAGCAGGCTAAAAACGATAAACAGGAAAGAGGGGTTTTTGTTAGAGTAAGGACCTTGGATAGAATAGGAGGTGCTTTTGGTAGAGTTGGTAGCGGAAGACTTATAAGAACTCAGATCATAGTGAATGTAAATGACCAAGTTGATTAAAAGATAGAATACAAGAAATATAAATAGTCCTAGTCTAGCCATGTACTCTAAGGGGTACATTCCCTTATTATAACTGTTTTACAGGCAATTCTACAGTGACTCTGACTGTTGCACTACTTTCTTGTTACCGAGTCGCTGCATGTAACCTGTACGGTTACGCCCGTTGCCATTCCTCGATGGTAGGTCAAACGTCGGTCCAGATGGTCAACAGTCGCGACAGTTGACTCTTGCGACTGTTGACCTTCCTGCCGTTGATATGGGCTGATCCGATACTGCGGATGTTGCTGCTTCGATAAGGTCGGGTGCGATACTGCTGCACCTACGGGAATGCCAAGTACAATTCCCTTCATACTCCAACACTCCCCTTCATTCCTGGAGGTGCGCCACGTGGCTTTTGCGAGTGACTCCGCACAGATCCGAGCAGTACTGAAACTTCTGACGTGGCAGTTTCTTCGTGAGGAAGTCAGCTGCCATTTCGCCAGTTGGACAGTAGGTGAGCTGGACTTTCCCTTTGTCGATTTCGTCCTTCACGAAGAAGTAACGTAGAGCGATGTGTTTCGTGCGGTTGACGAAGCCTGGCTTGTTGGCGATTTTGATCGCGCTCTGGTTGTCGTAGAGTAACTTGAAGGACCCGTTCATCGCCGTCTTCGTTTCCTGCAGGAGTTCCGTGAGGTAGAGTCCTTCGCGAACCGCCGAGCTTGCTGCGATGAATTCTGCTTCTGCTGACGAAAGGGCGATAAGCTCCTGTTTGTTGGAGTTCCATGAGATGGTTCCTGCAGGCTCGAGCTTCAAAATGAAGCCTGTGCGGGACCTCCTGTTATCTACGTCCCCAGCATGGTCCGCGTCCACGTAGCCTGTGAGTTGTAGAGGCGCTGTTAAGTTGGCCTTGTAGGTGAGTCCTACGTCAGGCGTAGAGATGAAGTACTGTAAGGCGCGGCGCAGGTCGGCTAGGTTCTCCCCTTCAGGTCGGCGCAGGTACTGGGCGAGCTGGCTGGCGATGTAGGACAAGTCCGGGCGGCATGTGACGGCGGCGAACAGTAGGCATCCGAGCTGCTGCTGATAGAGACGGTGATCAGCCGGTGAGAGTGGAGTAGTGTCGGGCTCGTGGTTAGGCGGAGGAATGCGGAATGGGGTGGTTACACCGACGGGAGCTATCCCGAACTTCTTAGCGAGATTCTCGGCGAACTTTGCGGCGGAGAGATGAATTGTGTCCGCGGTCTGAATTGTGGCCGAGGAACTGAGTGACCTCGTGGTCGATCGTGACCTCCAGCTTCTCCTGAATTTGGCGTTCGAAGCGATCGAGTAGTTCGGTGTCGTCGCCGGTGTAGAGAAGGTCGTCGACGTAGGCGACGAGCAGGATGAAGTGGTCGCGGGATTCGAGGCGGTACATCCCCTGATCGTGGGGAAGCTGCTGGAAGCCGAGCTCGATGAGAACGCCGTGAAGATGCTGCTGCCACAGGCGTGGTGCCTGCTTGATGCCGTACAGGGACTTTTGAAGAAGGCAAATAGCGTCTCCCTCTTCCTCGAACGCATGCGGCTGCTCGACGTAGATGACGGCGTCGACGATCGCGTACAGGAACGCGTTGGAGACGTCGATCTTGCGTAGCGGACGTTGTTTGATGGCGGCGATGCAGAGAAGAATGCGCACTGAGGTGTGACGACCGACAGGTGCGAATGTCTGGTTGTAGTCAACAAACTGTGTCTGCTCGAATCCGCGAACTACCCATCGCGCCTTGAATTTTTCGACCGTCCCGTCCGCCAGGGTCTTGATGCGAAAAACCCACTTTCCTGTAAGGATCTTTCTCCCCTTTGCGTGGCGGCGTGGTACCAGCTTCCAGGTTCCACGACGTTGCAGTGCAGCGACTTCTGCGGCCATGGCGGCTCTCCACTTCTCGGCATCGGGCCCGTTGAGAGCTTGGCGAACGGTGGTGGGCTCGACCAGCTGCTGGTTACCCCGTACGGCGACGGCGAGGCCGAGGACGCGAAGGCCCGTGAGGTTGGATTCGGCCGTGGTGGTAACTTCGACCACGTCGTCGTCATCGCCAGGGATGTCGCGAAGGGTGTCGCGAGATGAGTCACGAGCTGGGTCTTCGCTCATGGGTGAGTGCATTTCTGCACTTGCGTAATCGTGTTGTGCTTGTAGTGCTTCGTGGGGATCGGTATCTGTTGGGAAGAATGTGGGAGTGGCGAACTGCTCCGTAACGGGGATGAAGGGTGCTGCGTTAGCTGCTGCTTCGTCTGGCTGTTCTCCTGCCACGTCAACATCGTCCTCATCGTTGGCGTAGCTGTGCTGTCCTTGGAAGAGGTTGTCCGGTGCGTTCTGTGCAGTGCGGTGCTGGCGGTACAGCGACAGGGTCAGTCTCTCGTAGAAGATGCAGTCACGTGAACGCGTGAGCTGGTGGGTGGCGAAGTCCAGAATTGTCCAGGCGTGGTATTCGGATTCGATTCCGAGGTGAATGCCCCAGCGAGCGCGATCTTCAAATTTTCCGGTTCGGGCAGTGTGGGGGCGGTACTGTACCATACACCCGAAGACTCGCAGCATGCGTGTATCAGGGTGTTTTCCGGTCCACTCCTTGAAAGGCGAGCTGTTGTTGGGCAGTGCTTTCGAGGAAAGCATGTTGTGCAGCCGAACTGCATGCGCCATGGCGAAGGGCCAATACTTGGTTGGCACAGCTGACTGCTTCATGAGGGCTCGCATTTTTGTCGCGAGGCTCCTGTTGGTTCTCTCCGCCAATCCTTGCTGCTCGTGGGCGTAGGGCAAGGAGACCATCCTCTTGATCCCTCTCTGCTGGCATAGGGTTTTGAAGTCGTCCGACATGTATTCCAGGGCTCCATCTGTCTGGAACGCCTTCAGCTTGTGGTCGTCACTTTGGTTTTCCGCCATGGCGAGCCAGATTTCAAAACAGCAGAAGGCGAGGTGGCGATCCTTGACGTTCACGGCCCAGACGAAGCGTGTGCCGGCGTCGATGAAGGTGAGGGTGTACTGCTCCCCTCCAACTCCTTTCGCCGTGAGGACCAAGAAATCGCTGTAGACCTTCTCCAGTGGTTTGTATCGTTCGGCTACGGGAATATTTTCGGCAAAGGGCGTGTGGCGGAGCGCGGCTGCCGGACAGACAGTGCAGTTGGGTAGATCAGTTCGTGGTTTCAGCAGTTTACCATCAGGCAGCAACAGTGCGTCTGCCGCAAAGACATTTGCGTTGATGCAGTTGTTGAGCACCTCGATTGATGGGTGTCCCATGCGTTGATGCCAGATGTCTCCGTCAGCCCGATACCCCTTGGTGCGCGTGTACAGCTCCTTTTCTCGTGCTAATATCTCCTCTGCTGTTTCTTGCCTTGTTGCGTCCGTAGGTTCATCGGGCACGGTGACTTGAACTGCCGTTGCTTGAATTGTCACGCCATGATATGTACCGCTGGAGTCGCCGATGGCAGCAGTGTCCATTGTCACCGGCAGCCCTAGTGGTTTCTCTGGACGCGTGGGCGAGGGTCGTGCGTGACGATCTTCGAGCTCCGTAATTTCTTCTCCCTCCGGGTTGGTGTCGCCGATCGCCACTCCCCTTGTCTCGAGGCGAAGATAGTCTCGACCGTCTGTCGTGATGGGAAGCAGGTGAGGCCCGTACTCCGTTAGTGATTCCTTCTCCTCTGCTTCTGGTGCTTCTTCAGTGATTTCTGGTTCTGCTGCTTCTTCTGCAGGTGCGTCGGCGATGCGGTCCCATCCGGATTCAGCTGCAACGGCTTCCCCTAGTATGGTATTCTCCATGATCCAACGCATGTCGACCGCGTCCCATCCCTCGGTCGTGTTCCAGCCGGTGGGACGTTCGACAGGCGGCCAGTAAGCTTGTGTTCTCGTTGGTTCGATTGTTTCGACTGCCGTTCCTGATGTAGTCTCCTCTCCTTCTTCCACTGCTTGTGGTCCGGTTTCGGCAGGGTTTGTCGTCGAGGCGACGGGTACGGCAAGAGCGCGGAAGGTGCCGTCGAGTCCGGGTTGCTGATAGTCGGTTTCTTCTGGATGGCTCCACCGCGGCGGCGACGGATGACCAGGAGGGTCAAGAACGAGGATGTGTTCGTTGTCGCCGGTGGTTCTGGGCGACTCGAAGTCAAGCACGAAGACGCCTTCCACGCTTGTCGCTTTCCCGAT